AGTCAGCATGTGAAATCACCGAGTACTGTGATTTGCTTCTCTTCTTCCAGTCACACAGCAAGTGTTCAGCTCGGTCTTCAGTGTCTGTCGCTTTAGACGTAAGTGGTGTATGTGAGAACTAACGAAGTCTGTGCCCGCAGTCAGGCAAGGAGGTCTGCTGATGTATAAATCTGAAGTTAGGAAATAAAAAATTTTTATCACATATGCTAGTTTTTTATCTCTTGGTTCGGGGGCATTGCTCTGGGTTTGGTATTAACTATTTTCCTGATAGGAAAAATAAACAACTATCGTTTGCTTTTGATACTGTTTAATTCACCTGAAAGCGCGTAGTTCATAACTTACGTTTGCTTACGGTATTACAACAGGTGTTACTGACTTTTTAGCTTCAGAATTTTCACTTTTAACTATGTCTGAGGAAAGTGAAGAGTCTGTTCCTTTGCTTCCACTTCAGCAAGAGTCCCTGGCCTCTGCTCTGTTTAATACTGATCAGGTAGGATATGAGCGTACTTTGTTCTTTTAAGCAGTGGGGCACACGCGTGTCACGTTTAGCTACACTTTAGTAGCCTGAAAGGACAACTTTTTCACTAGTTTTAACAGCGAATGAGAGAGCAACTCTTGTAACTATTTTGATGCTATTCTGGCTTTCACGCACTATGTTTTTAATATGTAAAGGTATTTTGTGGTTGTATCTTTGTTCCTGACTGGTGGAGGGAATAAAATGGCACATACCGGTCCAATTTCTTCAATTTTTCTCTTTATATTTGATTTTACAGGGTTTTTTTGTAGTGTTGTGCTAGTTAATCAAGCTTTTCCTTTGGCTGTTTTTGTGTTCACTTTGCAAACATGTAGATTTTTATTTTACTTTTTACATTTCTCTTCCTAAAATAGGGGTAGTGCTCCCTCATGCAGGACTGCTGTTACAGCAGAGAAAAAGCAACATATTCTGCAAGAGTGCAGAAACTTAAATACTAGGTCTATTTTACTTGAGAAGTGTTCCAAGTCTCTGATCATCTCCAGTCTAGTGTTACTTACGATCATCTTAGGCAGTTTATTTAGATGGGTAAGCTTGTTGTTGTCGTCTTGTAGACTGAGAGAAATGGAGTATTTTTACTGTTAAGGTGAAAAATGTTACATTTGAGCTATAATCTGTACAGAAAGATGTTCAATTACAGCCAGCATTTTGGAACAATTAGACATGATGTCTTTATTTGCATTCTCCCATATTCCTGATAATTATACATGAGGACTTTACGCAAGATGCCAAGTGATTTATAATGAATCTTTCGTTTACTAAGAAGTAATATCAAACTCAAAATCATTTTCAGGATGTACTTTAAGTTAATGATACTAAATACAAATCAAGGTTAAAACCTTAAATCTAAAAATCTGGTTGTCTGCTAGTTTTAATTGCTTAAGACAATTTTAGTTTATTTTTTTTCTCCCCTCATATTGAGTTTCCTTTTTGAAAAATAAAAGAGAGATTCTTAGAGGACAGTACTTGAAACCCTGCTGAGCTTGATTCTGAGGATATCACAAAAAAGGAGTCAACCTATTGACAAAAAGCATTTGGTGTGTATTGTTACTTTGTAATGTTTTGTAAAAGCAAATTTTTCATGAGTTGGGGAAATTGTAAAGCTTCAACCAAGGTTTTAGCAGTGTCACTGTTTGCAGTTCAAAGTCCAGGGACTTGCACTCTTAATCACTTAAGTGCTTTTGAAAACACCACTATGAGTTCCTGAGTATGTACTTTACATCTTATCTTTTCTGAGGGTGAGGCTGGGAAAATTCTCTATAAAGAATCTCCAAAATTACTATTGATCTATCAAAAAACTGCAGATACAAGTCAGTAGTTATGTTTGGAAATGCTATTAAGAACAGGTAATGAGACTTTGACATTGCATGTTTAAGGAAAAAACTACCTGCATAAGACTGCTTAAGCAGAAATTCATTAGGTTATTTTCAATGCCCCATCTTATATCTAGAGCAATTTTACTAAAACGGAATGTTTTTTTAAAGGTATTGCAGAAGGTATCTTCCTTCAGTTTATTGTGTGTTTTAATCTAAAGCTGCTTTAGTGCACTTGCTCAAACTGAACCATTTGTAAATAAAGTAATTTGAAGAAATTAGTTTCGTTTTAAGGAATAAAAAAATCTTTGTGTTACATCTCTTACGTTAAATGTCTTGAGCAGAGGGAATGGGAGCAGTACAGCATTGACTTTGGACATGGTAATACAGTAAAAAGAAAGAGTAGTCTGTATAAACTGTTGCATTTTAAAGCTTGTTTAGAGTGGCTAGTAAACATAAAATGGTTTTCTTTCTTTGTAGTCCAGAACAGGTGAAACATAGCTCACTCTCCTGTTGTGTTCTCTGTACGTGCACACAACATATAAAAGGCTGAATGCCTCCTGCTGACGTGGCTTCTTGGAGAGGGGGAAAAAGGTTTGTTGCAGCAGGAGGAGTGCAGGCCTGATCATTTACTTGTAGGTGGTGTTTCCAGTTTGTGGTTTTGCTTGTGGTTAATCTTAATTCCATTGAAAGTTTACCTCTGTCCTTGTGTTTGAATTATATCCTTGATGTTTCATGTGGCAGCATCGGGAAGGCTAGGAGGCTCTTTCGTGTTTGTTGACAAGGGCGGTGGAATTTCTTCAATGTCAATAAAAGGATGTAGCAGTAGTATCCTCGGGAAAGGAAGGAAAGAATTTGCACGCTTAGTGCATCACGGTAGAACTTTGGGACTAAGTGTTGGTGTAAAGACTGAGAGTTACCTGAGTTTGATTACCATTTCTGTGTCGTTCTTCTTGCTAAGAATGTGGGAACACCATACCTCGTGAAACTTCATTTTAATATATATTCTAGTTAGTGTACTGCAGTGGAGTAACACAGTAAGGAAAGTATAAGTTTTCCTGGGACTTTCACGGAGTGAGACTCATAAGTGTCTGTTTGGCATTATTTCTAGGAACAGATATGGATAATTCTTATCAAGCTATGAGTAATCTACTGTTGTGCACCCCTGTATCAACTGTAGTTTGGACCAAGGGAAAAAGCTGGCTGTCTTTATTTAGCTTTTTTAATTCTCTTTAAAGGAAAGGTTACGTAGGGCTGTTAGATGCAACCAGCCCTACTTTCAGCTGTTGCTGTTTTTAGTATAAATGCTTCTAACATAACCCTGTGCTCCCATTCTTTTGTTAACTATGTGATGCAATTAATTACTACTGTTTAAGTCCTTGGTGTGGCAAACATTCTTGACCGTAAATATTACCTTACATGTTTCCCTCTCAAGATCATCTTTAGCTTAGTGCACAAGAATATGATTGTGGATAGTTGCTGAGGAAACTTTTTTTTATGTACTGCAGAATGACAACAGCGAACGACGTCGCCATGATAATAGTGATCGCAGAAGAAATGACAATCCCGAGTCTGAGACCAACGGGCAGCCACAAAACAACATTCAGCAAGTGGTGGAACAAGACGAAGAAGAAGATGAGGAGCTGACACTGAAATACGGGGCAAAACATGTGATTATGTTATTTGTACCTGTCACGCTTTGCATGGTGGTCGTTGTTGCAACCATCAAGTCTGTCAGCTTTTATACACGCAAGGATGGACAGCTGTATGTATCAATTTTTTTCCCCTGTCTTTTCAATGGACTCACTTAGATAATTTTCTTTAATTTCAGGAGTCTAATTCAAGCAGCGAACTCCCTCTTGCTTCTCTTTCCCCCTCCACTAGCATAGTTTTGTTTTATTCCTTCCAGAAACCAGACTCTATATTCATGGTACTGTTGGCAGTTGTTGTCTGTCTGGTGACCAGTTGGGATAGTGTCTTGGTTGTTACTGCTTGATTCAAATCCTAGTCTTCATTTTAATACTTCATCATGCCCTCTGGTATTTATGAAATAAACTCAATCCTGAGCCAGAGCCATTTCGTTTGTACTCTGCTAGAATACAGAGATTTTGGAAAAGGGAAAAAACTACACATTTAAATGCAGTAACATATATGCCAAGTTCTGGTTTGCCTATGCTGTTTGATAAAGAAATTCAAATGAAAGAGGAAGATAGCTTTATGATGTTCACTTCTGTTGCAGTTACAGAAACTTTCCTGGCAGGTTTCCTGTATATAATTTTTTTTTCCCAAAATATTATTTTCAATGTCATTGAAAGCTGATTTGAGAGAAAAGAGACAAAGTAAGAACACTGAGCCTGTCAGAACCTGCAGCAGATTGATCTAAATGTTCCACTATAGAAACATTTAGACAAAATGATCCACAGTATGTTTGGCTTTGAAATGTTTGTATAATATAAGCATGTCATAAAGTGTTTCAATAAAACACAGAGTTCTTTTTCACTATCAAAGCTGTGGATCAAAGAATTATTTTTCTGGAGATTTTATTTATGGTGTTTTCTCTCCGCCTCCCTCCCTTTCCCCATAATGAAGTGTTTTTTTCTCCAAGTTGTTGTATTTCTTTAAGAAAAAGAGGGTTGAGCCCATACATTGTTTTGTTGAAATTACTGAGGAACCTTTTGTTGTAAATCCACTAGATGGTGTGCTTATAAAGGTCTAGCTGCAATAATAGTCTAATGATTCATAGCATGTGAGTAATTGTATCAAACAATGTGGAGTTCTGTTTTTTGTTTGTTTTACAAAGTAGAAAATAGTAGTAACCTAAGAATGTAGGAAAGGCAAGTGTTCTAAGGAAAATTTTTTTTTTTAATTAAAGTTTGCCTAATATGATACTATGTGGCCTTTCAGATTTTGCCTAAGCAGAAAACAGCTGTTGCTTTTATAGCTCTGAATTGAAAAATAACTGCAATTTCATTTGATGTTGGCTTCACATATTGGAAACATCTGTGCATTCAGTGGCATTTCAGTTGACTTTTTGTTGTTGTAGCATCTACACTCCTTTCACAGAAGAGACAGAGACAGTAGGACAGAGAGCCCTGAATTCAATTCTCAACGCCGCTATCATGATCAGTGTTATCATTGTCATGACCATACTCCTGGTTGTGCTTTACAAATACAGGTGCTACAAGGTGAGTATAAATATAATTGACTTGAGTAATCATGCTAGTTGTATTTGTTAGTACAGATTATCAAGAATGGAACAAAATGAAAGGTTATCAATGGTGAGTGAGCAAAAGTAACAGGATTGGCCATTCAGTTCACTGTTTTAATTTTGTGGCTTCTGTTCCTTTGACACGGCATGGAGGCAGAGACCCAGTCCTAACGCTGTTGGCTATTTTGTCTGTTAGAATTAGGGTGACATTGCTTCCTATACCTGTGAAATGTACCATGTGCTGAAATCTTCCTGTGGTCAAGAATTGGTCCTACAATTTGAAAGCTATTCAGGACTTCAGGGGCTTTTCAAGGGCTTCCCTTTCTCCACCCTGCCCCCAGTATTGTGCTGTAATGTGTGCATGGCTCTACCTGCCAGGTAACATCCTTATAGCAAACACAGAGACTCTAAGCCTCTTCTGTGAAAGACTTCAGTTATATAATGATGTAATCAAGGCAAGTCCAGGATTAGCATAAATAATTGCAATATCACCTGCCTGAGAGGAGTTGTTCTTGAAAATTCCTGGTTGTCTTTTGGTCTTAATGACCCATTTGGCAAGACTTGGCCTAGTAAAACTTCCTAGTGTGCAGCTGGAACCTTAAATCTGTTCCATAGTTGTAGACCTGGCTGTGGGATCCATGCACTGGCACAAAGCTTTGCTCCACTTTATTTTGTTTTCAAGAGGGGAAAATGTTTTTGGTCTTCAAGGCTGTGGGTGAAACCCCTTTACAAAGTATCTGTGGAGTGACTAGGGAAGGGGTTTCTGCCTGAATCTGCATACAGCTTGGAATAGTGTTTTTTAAACACTCTCTTTTGTCACAGTGTGATGTTAAATCTGAACTGATAAAGTTTTGGTTTTAAACTGTCAATTCTGTTCATTCCAATGAAGTCAAATAACTGATGTACTTCAGCTAGGTTCCTTGACAGCCAGTCGAGTCTCCTCAGTTGCTGAAGGCATCAACTAGTTTTTACTATGTTTTTCACATTTCTGACATGCCTCTTGACCTTACAAAGCACTGCGTGTTCTCCTTACAAAAATAATCGTTGTACTAAAAAATTAGAATGGTTAGACAACATAAATTTCCTGTGGTTATATTTTATACTAATTAAAATAAATAATTAACTTATTTTTAGAATGGCTGACAGTATTTTTATGCTGCTGTACCAGAATGCTGCCCTGTCCATTGAATTCTAGTTTACATGCAGTTCTACATGTAGAATGTAGTATAGATTATGGGGAATGGAACTTATAATGAAAGAATGTTAGGCCTCCATCTGGTAGTGATAATTTGCTTATCTTCACAAGATTTTTATCTGAAAACTCCTTTGAAGAAAGAAAATCCTATTTACTGTTAGTTTCCTGTGTTTCTCATGTATGCGATAAGTCAAGCATGGTCCTGGTTCTAGCTCCTAAATCTGACCAGAACAGCATCTTCGAAGGTGGTTCTATTTGACTAGCTTTTCTTTTTAACGTATTTTATTATTCTCTGCATTCTTCAGTGTTTTATTCTGCCTAATCAGAATCTGGCTGCTGTAGCTCATTTTGATTTCACTGCATTCTGCAATCCTTAGTTTTTATTAAAGTTGTAGCAGGCAAGACCAACTCTGTACCGGCAATCAATTAGTGTTGAAGCTGTTGTCAAATGAAGAATGAAAATTCTTTAATTAGAAGGCAACAAACCTGTCATGCTACACTGCTAGGAGAACACTGGCCAAAACTTTCAAGAAATACTTCAGAAAAATCACTTGTATGAAAAGAGGCCAGTGATCTGGAAAATGCTATAACAAATTAAATGCATATTGAGAATGAAACAAACATCTGTGTGTAAAATGCCAACTTATGTCAACTCTTGAAACTACCTCCTTCGGTACTGTTGACAGTACTTATGCAAAGTGTGTGTAAACATTTGCTGGACCATGGCCTAGGTGTTTGACATTGTTAGCATTTTACTCTTTACTAGAATGAAAAATTAGTATTCACATTATTTTCTTAAGTGGTAAGAAATTTTAAGAGCTTGTATTACAAACAGAAGAATCATAGAATCATAGAATGGCATAGGCTGGAAGGGACCTTAGAGATCATCTAATCCAAGCTCCCTGTCATGGGCAGGGACGCCTCTCAACTAGGCCAGGCTACTCAAGGCTCTGTCCAACCTGGCCTTGAACACCTCCAGAGAGGGGGCATCCACAACTTCTCTGGGCAATTCATTCCAAAGTCTTACCACCCTCGTACTGAAGAATTTCTTCCTAAGATCTAATCTAAATCTGTTCTCCTTCAACTTAAACCCATTTCCCCTTGTCCTATCAGTGGACACTCTTGTAAAAAGTCCCTCCTCAGCCTTCCTGTAAGTTCCCTTCAGGTATTGGAAGGCAGCTATTAGGTCCCCCCGAAGTCTTCTCTTTTCAAGGCTGAACAATCCCAGCTCCCGCAACCTGTCCTCATAGCAGAGGTGCTCCAGCCCCTGGATCATCTTTGTGGCCCTCCTCTGAACATGCTCCAACAAATCTATGTCTCTCTTATGGTGGCGACACCAGAACTGGACACAGTATTCGAGGTGGCGTCTCACAAGAGCAGAGTAGAGGGGGAGAATCACCTCTCTTGACCTGCTGACCATGCTTCTCTTGATACATCCCAGGATACTGTTGGCCTTCTGGGCCGCATGAGCGCACTGCCAGCTCTCATGAGCTTCTCATCTATAAACACCCCCAAATCCTTCTCTTCAGG